ATTACTGAAAACGTTGAAACTGATCATTACCGCAGTTGTAGCGGGTTAATTCAAACATGATCGTGTTTTTTCAGTGTACACTATCGTCCGTTAAATTCAAACATGATCGTGTTTTCTCAGTGTACACTATCGTCCGTTAAATTCAAACATGATCGTGTTTTCTCAGTGTACACTATCGTCCGTTAAATTCAAACATGATCGTGTTTTTCAGTGTACACTATCGTCCGTTAAATTCCAACATGATCGTGTTTTCTCAGTGTACACTCAGGGCGGCTTTAGAACCTATTAACTGCATTTTCTTTCTCATTTACAAATACCTTTCTAGTTTCTTGGATATGATTTTTCTTTCAATTTGTGTGTGTGTAATATTTATTGTTTTCTGCAATGTGCATGTCCCTGTTTTGACACATTTCAAAACATCTAACCTATCACTCTTGATTTCTCGAAGTAGTAGGAAGCATAAAAGCCAAAATGCATTTATCCAGATAAAATAGTTCGATTACTGTCGGCCCATTACGATTTTAGTAATGAGGATGCAACGGGGCCGTGAGAGGGGTGTGTGCCGTGAAACCTTATAAGTGTAGTGAATGTTGTTATAATAAACCTAAAGTAAAGACATAGTTTAGGATCACCTAGCCTAGAGCCAAGTGCATAAAATTTATCATGAAAATAAAAATATCGATTCAATTTTAAACTTAAATCGTTTCTGAATTAAGCTATTTTCTGTTATGTCACCAACGTTTTTAATAAATAAGAAAACCTCTTTAATCAACGGAGACTCTAAATTAAGAAATCACAAATATCTTTCCAGTTTTGTTATCTGTACATTTCATTTTATACGTTCAGTACATAGGTTAACAATAATATTAGATTATTCTTTTGTTGCTAAGCGACATGACATAAAAGCCATTGTTGGAACGTAGTGTTACGAAAACGCACTGGCTTTTCTATATTAGAATATGTTAATCTAACTGATTTTTAGCAATAATTATTCTATGAATACGCCACGAATTCATTTCTTGAATGATCTTAATTTTGATTGGCTTACAAAGGAATTTACCGACGTTTGACTGCCTCGACTGCACTTTTCTGTCTCTTTGTTGGTCGAGCTTGATTTCACAAAATTTACTGATTTCAGTTAGCTATGAAATGTGAGGTTATGGTACACTATGGGGTGGGGTGATAGTACTTGCCCCGTTATTTTTAACGGGCTATACGCTAGTAATATATATTTTTCAGTTTTTCTTCATATATATGTATGAGATTAGATCTCTCTGTGGTTACAGATGCACGAGTTAAAGTTTTATTTGAAAGGATAAGATAAGGGCCTTAAAATATACTTTTCTGTATTTTTGTAGGTAAAGTTTTGATACAGATAATAATCCATACTAGTTTCTTTGAGAAACAGTAAGTCCATTAATGGACAAATCTAAGCATGGCCCTAGATGTGTATCCTCTTTAAGTAGTTCCAGTCTAGGCTGTCTCTCTCTTTTCTCTGGTTTATCGAGTGTAGTAGCTCATACCAACCCGTTTTTATAGGATTCAGAGCTGTTATACTGAGATGTCAGTCTCATTTGTAATTAGCCAAGCTGTCACTCAAATGTGACAGTTCTGTTTGGATCGAGTATTAAGTTTGAAAGGGCCAACTTGTGAACTTTAAGTGGTAGAGCTTTTTTTTTTTTGCAATATTGTTCTTTGTTTGTGATCCACATGTAGGTCATTTCCCTTAAGGTCTGCTTTTGCTTTGATTTTCAGTATTTATCCATACTATTTCATTCAAAATATCGATTTATGTATTTTCTACAGTTTGTTTAAGTGTGTATTTTTCACAAGTGTTATCTTATTCATCCACTTTAAGGTTTAAATGTTGAAAGCTGATGAAAAATTGGAAACCAACTAATATCAAAAATAACATTTCAGATCTATATTTCGCACCTCAAATGTCGCTACCCAAGAGGCATTTCAAACAATATCAGAGCTCGTCAGTTGAGGTGGACGATGACAGACAAAACGTTTTCTAAAACGCTACTTATATGTACTATAAGACTTAGAAACCAATAGGCCTAACTTTTTTAATTCTTTTTGAGAAAAATCAAGTAAGTTTTTTTTTCAAGAATCGTAACTAAAAGATTGTCATCACCACCCTCCGCCAACTCTTGGGCTACTCTTTTACCAACGAATAGTGGGATTGATAACGCCCCCACGGCTGAAAGGGCGAGCATGTTTGGTGGGACGGAGATTCGAACCCGCGACCCACAGACTACGAGTCGAGCTCCCTAACCACCTGAACATAAATTAAAGAAACTTGGAAAAAATATGTGCAGTTTGCTTGATGTTTATAAGAAATTTCAAACTTAAGTAACAATAAAACAATTTTTCATTTACTGAAAACTGTTTTACTGGCTTTCGCAAATTATTTCTTAACACAGAATGCCACACTAAAACTATAGTTGGCATCATTAATTAATAACACAGGCTACGAATTTAAACTTCATAAAGGTTGTTTTGGTTTTAATAACGGATTTTCC